AATATGTCAACAAATTATATTTAAGACTGTGCTAGACTCTCTCTTCCTTCAACAAGGGCAGGTTCATATCTGATCCAGTTGTCTTGTTTGTAGTCTTGTCTTGTCTACCATAAAAGAGACAGTCACAAACTGCATGATACATTCATTCATTTATACATACAGACACACACACACATTTATTAATTAATTAATTAATTTGTGTGTGTGTGTGTGTGTGTGTGTGTGTCTTAAAAATAAATCACAACAATCATCAATCACAAGCTGTTCAGTTCAGAACTGTTTAACAACTTTAAGCACCTCGACAAAATAGCATGCGATTTCCACGTTTTGTCAGCATTTTCACCCCGTTTTCTGGTTAGGAAGACAAACTTTCAGACATACTTATTTCAGCACCATTGGAACTGACAGCTCCTGTAACGACGCACACATGCGTTATCTCTACCGTGAAATACGGTAAAACATCAGTTAAGATCTTATTTAAAAGCGTGATTTGTAACGTTATCAGAAAACCCAGACAAACACAAATCACGCAGATTACACCCACAGAGATGCCGTTTGAAGACATGACAAGAGATCGAAGACTTTTACGAAAGCGCTGCGCCAAAAAAAAAAACGGGGAAAAAAAAACCTTCTTATGCAACGATTGAAATAACGATACAGAAAGTATTCTGAACTTCTTAAACAGCAGAAATCAAAAGACCTGTTTTTAAAGGTGCGTACATCACATCTTCATCGCCAGACTGGTGATATAGCCTATTATGTGGCATCAGGCTAGACTAGGCATAAGAAATCTGCAGAATTATCCTTATGAACAAATAATTGCTGTCAAGACAAAGAGGGTAGCAACGTCACTTACCATACACGAAACACTGACAGAAGTAAGAAGTAGAGGAACAATTTGGTGGACATGTTTTAGGTGAGATTGACTCCGTATTGAATGTGGCACACAGCACGGAGACTCTTCTAAGAAGGAAAAAAAAGTGAAACAGCAGCAGCCTTTTCTTCCAGGCTCAGTTAAAACAGTGGCGAGTAGTCGATGTTATAGTCCAACGGGAACAGTAAGATATCCTCGGCTAGCGTCCGGTGCTTAAAGTTCACTTACATTGACAATTAGCGGGATCAAATAATAGAAGAGCCCCTCCTGCTCCTTGAAGTTGCGCTGCTTTCGATTGCACCACCGGATACACATACTGACGTTCACAGGCAGAGCGCAAACTTCCAAAGTGGATACCTTCAAACCTCTAATGCATCCGTTAGTTTCTGCAAATTACGTCATAAAAAAAACAAAGTCTGCCCTCCCGGACGGAACTTGAGATCCTCTTCGGGTTCATCTGGTATTTCAGAAAATAAAAAACGTCAGAGTGCTTCGAGGAGAGACATTATAAAGCGGCTGTTTACAGTATCGCTATCAGTTAGGTAAATGATTACCGCGCGGACTGTGTTCCAAATGGAAATCGGCGCGTAATTGCTGTAATTACTGTGCACGGGCATTGATCGCAGTGCGATTAACCCGATAATAAAGCAAGATGAGGGGGGAGAAAATGTCATCAACCAATTTGGAGTCGAATTAATTATTACAGGGTATTATTCAATGAATCAGACTATATACATCCTGATGTTTCTAGCATAAATATAGTAGCCTAACAAATACATTTAGCCATTTGCCGTACAGTGGAATGTCATTCGTCATTATTTCTTTTAACTATCTGAGTCGGATATACATAATCACTGCTGCTAATTTAACCTTCTATCCATAAATTGTCCTCGCATTGCTGTGTTTTAATGTGAGCAGGTGCACATATGCAGTACAATATTTGAGAGACAGCGCCGACATTTATCACCACAGGCAGCTCCCAGTCGCCTACGCACTTTGGAAAAAAACGCAAGCCCCTTCTTTCTCTCTAGCTTTGCTCTGCGTGTTGTGAGATTTTTCCTCTAACTTCTCTCTAGAACAGGGGTGTCAAACTCAATTCCCGGAGGGCCGGAGCCCTGCAGAGTTTTGTTCCAATCCCGCTCCAACACACGTAGTTTTCAAATAAGCCTGAAGGATTAGTTGGATCAGGTGTGTTTAATTAGGGTTGAATCTAAACTCCGCGGGGCTCCAGCCCTCCAGGAATTGAGTTTGACACCCCTGCTCTAGAAGGTTCAATGTCTGTGGTACTGTAAACACGCCAAAGGCAAATCTACTTTTGATTATTTTATAGTCCTTTGTCATTTTGGCTAAAATTTAAATATAATAATAAATTGGTTATGAGTTCAATTAAAGTCGAAGTGTATGTTTTGCGACAAGCATTACCCAACGTAATTTATAAAATGGCGATTGTTTCGAACAGGTTTCCCCGTGCACTCCACCGTCTGCCATTGGCCAGCCAAACAGAGAGTTCCACCACAAACGCACGGTTTTGGTTCTATCGGGAGCGAATGTTTGATAACACCACATAGCAGCATAGTGGTTACATTTATCATTGAAAATCGCCTGAAATGGCTTACTTATTTGTCTTTGAATAGTATAGGATAAAGTATTTTAACATTTAATAACTCACTTCATTTTTAATAACACATAAAACTACACGTCGACCTATTTCGCTTTGTTTTCAAGTTCTTATGACGGTATGGTGTCTCCCTTTTTGGCTTAAGTGAGAGCATGAACTCGGCCAGTTCAAATGCATGATAGACTATCCTCTTGTGGCTGATTACAGAAATGCAGATAGGACGTGCAATATAGAGTAAAACACAGCACATACTAAACCACATACAGTGAAAGAACAAACAGGAGTGCTGTGCAGTTAACCACAGGGTAAAGGATGTGACAAGAAAAATGCCGGCACTGTCAAACATTTTAACTCACTAAAATTAAAAACATAATTTTTGATGTACAATCAAAGTGGTGCCAAACCTTCCAGTGAAAAAATCCCCGCATTTTTAAGAGCACATTGAATTTAAGCAAATCAAGTTGAAACACACACACACACACACACACACAAACCTAAAAAGTAAAATGAATAAAATCAAGCAGAAGAAATTATTGGGGGTTAAATGGATGGAAAAAAGACATGATAATAATGATGAATAATAAATATTACAGTGTACAAGAGTTTTGAATACTATGCTTTTAAAACATTGTCAATTCTGACATCTCTATGTTTAAATTGTGGGTGATCAATACATTATCTGACACTTTCTATGTGCAAACCATCTTTGCACAACAGATTAAATTAAAATAGTGACAAACCCTTTTGATAATTAAAACTGACATTTTCAGCTTTAAGAGATGCAATCTTTAGCTTTTTCTTAATAACACAATGAAAAGAACTGGGTATCTCTTCATGATACAAACATCAATCTCTAATGACATATCTGAGTGAAAGCTTCTCAACTGTACACTAGTGGAATTCCGGTCCGGCACCAGGAGTACGATTCCAAGCTCTCACTCCACTACTCAGGGGATTAAAGGTTTAAGGTCCATTGGCATGCTGTGCATTATTGTGTGAGAGATGAGTTTAGTATATTAGAGAGGTTTACACTTGCCTTACATGTATTAAAAATGAAGTAAAGTCTTTCTCTAAACCCACAACAAGAGCATGGCATGTCAAATAAATGTCAGTGTGACCGAAACAAAATAACAACATACTTTTAACATTCATAAAGCATAATTAAGAACGGTGACAAATATGTAAATGCACAGAATACACAAACATTTCATTTGTATATTCTGTCACACACTGAACACAGCTGCCAGTCTCCAGTAATATGCTAGTGTATAATATCACACACATAATGCAAAATTACAGTTACTTGGTCACACTGGTGCTAGTTTAATTCGACGCCATGTATAGGAGCACCGGAAGGAAAAGCAACTTAAGTGAAGCCAAATCCTTTACAAACAGATGTGGGCCAGATGTTGCCAGCGCACAGGACCAGAGGAAGCATTCTATATCCTCCCTGCTCCAGGAACTCTGGTCTTGATGTGTGCATGTGTGTTTGCTTGCATGCGTGTATGTTTTGTATAATCCCAGAAGTAATCCCAGGAAGAATCCTTCTTCCATTTACAGTGGCTTCTGCAGCAACCGTTTCATTAAGACAATATCTAAGCTTCCTGTGCATGTCTTATTGCCATGAGCCTGTGAAGAGCAGCCATGAACCCAATAAACATAAACCCCTGCAATCTCGTGGCAGATGGTCCAGCATTAACCAAAGCAAACAAACTGCATACTATTTTTGATGTAAATAAAGTCCTTGTTGATACTCTTTCCTTTAAATGAGCTCATCGGTGTGTAAATGTGACTGGTTTTAAATGTTACTAACATTCTAGGCCAGGTCTAAAGATTTGCAATTAAGCAATGTCTTTTGAGCAACTCAAACAGAAGTAATCAGAACTTGGTCAAGAAACATATCAGGCAGAATTTATTGCTTCAGACATGTATGCTTTGAGGAACAGCTGTACATCCATTGTTGTAAAAGGGCACATTACTGACTCACTTGAACTCTTTTAATGATTCATTCTCCTATAGGCCTGAGTAGTGTACAGAGGAGCTTAATGGCTCTTGTAGTTGGCCTCTTAATGAGCTACACCTCATCTGTAGGGTCACTTAGTTTTTGTGCCGTCTCACTTTCACGTAACAAGTTCAGAATAGAACGATTACAGGATAAAAACCAAATCTTTCTGAGTCGCACTTTTGGACTATCAAGGTCATTGTTCGCTCTTCCATTTCATTCCCCAAATAAGTAGCCATGCGTTTTGGTTGAAGAGATGGCATTATGGTGTGACATTTCAGTTCCAACAAGATCCAATTTGAACATGTCTGACAATAGCAGGTTCCACCTTTCTACTGTACAGTTGGCCTTCATTCTCTCCCTTTTCCTGTCTTTAGAATCTGAATGTTTGAATTATTAAATGTGAATGTTTCTTTTATTTTGTTTTCAGACCTGTTTACCTGATCCTTTCACATTATTCTACATGGTAGTGCAAAGAAAATATCACTAGGTGTCAACGTTTAAGGCTGTTGCTGACTCGTTCCAACCTCGAAAACCCACTGGCCAATTTACAACACAGACAAAAAATAAGAAAATGGCTATTGCATAAACAGCATGAAAAGCCAATGTGAAAACTATTAACTGTAAAGAAATGCCACATTCTGTCAAAGCCTACAATATTTCACGATACAATCTGCGTTTTCACCATAATTCATGTCACTTTGGCTGCACATTAGATTAGTGAATCAGAACCATTTTCAGCCCTTCCTCACTAATGTTAAGCCGCATCTACGCTAAAAGCAAAGCATACACAAGCTATGTACAAATGATTCGCTGCAACCCAACCTTGTTCACCTTGCAGGATATCTTGGTCTAAAGTGTGAAAAGCTGCCTAAGGTGCACAATTCTATTTAGCTACTTCAAAAAAGCTTAGAAAAAAATGACAAACGAAAGTGAAATCAGTAATTGTGGGACATTCCCGAGCACTCCTATGAAGTAATCCCTCTGAAGGCAACATTTTTAGCATGGCTAAAAACTTAGCATAGCATCTGTCTGCCTTACACCATTGATGCTAAAGCTAATAAAAAAAGAAGAGAAGGCTGAAATGCATTAATACAAAGCAAGGGTTTCATTATAAGCAATTACCCATTTCAACATAGTAGAAAATGGTTTTTGCATAGCATTTGGCCTTGCTGTACTTCTTTTCAATATATGTTTTTTTTTTATACTGTGATAATGTTGATGCCAAATGCATAAATTTTTGTTCACATCCCTTGGAAAATTTTCATGACTGAAATGGTAGCTTCTGTGGCTCTCAATTCATTGTAAGATGAATGCAATAACCAGTGGAAACCAGAGAAATATAAAGTAGGAAGTCAAGGCAGATATGGCAATTATATTCCCATAGAGCTTTGAATCTATCATGCAATTTATGATATCAGGAGGAAAATTCAACAGGAGCACTCCTCTTATAGAATAGCAAAGTGAGAGGTGCAGTAAATAAGTGCTCGTCATCGTTTTTTGCAAGGTCAGCTTGTCGTCGAGTATTGAAGTGGAGAAGAAAAAGAGGTTGTGAAGGGAATGTCGCAGTGGCATAGGGGGCTTAGCAGGGGCTAATCGGCTCCAGTAATCACCGGTTCCCTGTTGAGATATGTGGCCCAGTAGACCAAGTTGAAAGTCCCAAAGAGGACCGGGAACACTATCCGAGACATTTTGTCAATTTTGCTGACGCTGTTGTAAGTCTTTTTGGGGTCCATTGCAGGCTTGGTCTCAGCGCTCTTCAACTGGACAGTGGTGCTGTTGGAGATGGTTGAGATAGCTGCATCCTTCGTGAAGTTAACTCCAGACAAACAGGCATTGTTTGGCTTTTTGGAGAGTGCCAGTGGGTCTTTTTTCTGTGGTTGAGAAAGCAGAAGACATTGTTATACAGCAAACAATATTGTCAATGTAAGAACAAAGTTGCCAACTCTCTGCTCAGAGAGGCCAGATAATGAACCAGTTTGAAGGTCGTAACCTTCTAATTAAAGGTGAAATACAGTCATGGTTAACAGAGATCTGAGTCTGAACATTAAACATTGGCCTCTGCAGGGCCAGCAGAAAAGATTAATTAATAAAGCCACAGTATAATAATGGAGCGGTCGAGACTGCGGTTCAGACAAACTTGACTCACTCAAGGGTATGTGCAAGTGACTTTGAGGCAATTTTCCAAGTGAAATGTCATTTAGTTTATCACAATTACACATCATCTACGCTGTTCATCTATAAAAGTTATAATCCTTTCAAGGATTTTTGTCCACAATCAGTATGATTACTTTAGGTCAAAAGAACATAAGCAGTAGTTATAACTCTAAAAATCCTGCTTTATTGCTTTTATGTTCCAGTACTTTCAGGTGGGCAGAGGTAATCTGTCACCATGCCAGCTTGTGGGGGTGGCAGACAAAAGGTTCTGAGTTGCTTCTAGCCACCTCATTTTTCCACAATGCATCTTTGCTTAAAAGAATAGAGCTTTCAAGTCTAAAGGGGGTGCAAACGCATCATTAAGATAGTCCATACAAGTTTATGCACTGTATTACAAGTCTTGAGTTATTAGAAAGGAGTGAGAAACACCCACATTTAAGTTCATGAGAGTCATAGAGATGTGTGATTTGCAAATGAGTCGTGAACCATTTGATCCGATTCACAACACCCGGAAAGATCATATTTGGAATAGAGTTCCCGATTTCAACTCAATGATTCTATAATCATCAAAAAGTAAGATTATCATTGAATAACTTGCGTAATTGCTGTAAAGAAAATTTAAAACACATGCAAAATAGCGCATGAGTGGTATGGATAATTTTTGAAGATACACACACATATGCACATTTTTATTTTTAACTTTCAACTCATTAAATAATTCTGAAATATTAGAATTTTTATTAAGAATTAGAATTTCTAAAAGATCACATGACACTGAAGACTGGAATAAATTACATTTTAAAGTATATTCATATAGAAAACAGTTATTTTAAATTGTAATAATTTTTCACAGTATTACTGTTTTTACTGTATTTTTCTTGGTGAGCAAAAGAGACGTCATTCAAAAACATAAAAAAAATGGTACCAACCCCAATATTGAACAGTATTTTGTATACGTCACTTCCTGCTCTTTTTTTAAAGAAGGACCCCACAGCATGAGCTCAAGGTTTTAGAAAGACTACTTAGCAGGAGAGGTGGAATAAGTTGGTGTTTGATAAAAAAAAGGGTGACATTTAAGAAAGATGTGCTGGAGGTCCAGATCTGACCTTCAGAAGTCTGACTGTAGAGTCTTTACTAACAAACTCACCACAGTGACATTGACAGCTCTTTGAATTCTGTTTGTCCACTGCGAATGAAAAATTACCACCTGGGTGAAAATGGATCTTGCATAAGCAGAAACCTGGCATTTACATGTTCATCAACCAAGCAGCTCTCAGAAATCTCAATGAAGTGACTGGTCTGAAGGGCATTCTGGGTAAAGGCTAAATATTCATCCTGTAGAATTTCAAAATGTGACATCCATCAGCAGCTAACACACAAACAAGCTCATCTAATCTAAAGCAGTTGACATTTGAGTTAGTGTCACCATCTGAAATGTTGTGACTGAGCACTCTCCAGCTGTTCCGGTGTCTCAAAACAATTAGAAAAAGCATATTATATAACCGCAATGTATTGTAACCTTCGCGTCAAACAGAACTGTCATGTTATGCAACTTCACTCAACAAAGCCTCTTTCTGAGGTTTTCTAAGAGTTGAACATCACATATGCACAAACGCATGAAAACATACTAAACTTACTTTAGGCTGCTGAGCCTCCAAGGCCTTCTTTCCATCCCATGCCCAGCTGCGTTTGGTGAAGTAGTTGACTGTGGCAAACTCGATAAGCGCAGAGAACACAAAGGCATAGCAAACAGCGATGAACCAATCCATTGCAGTGGCATATGCTACTTTAGGAAGAGAGTTGCGGGCGCTGATGCTGAGGGTGGTCATAGTCAACACTGTGGTCACACCTGTGGAGGATAAAACACATAGATATTTAGAATATTATAAGATCTCTAAAGCAAAATAAATAAATAAATAAATACACTACCGGTCAAAAGTTTGGAATGATTCAGAGTTTTTAATAACAAAGTCTCTTGTGCTCAACAAGGCTGCATTTATTTGATCAGAAATACAGTAAAAACTGTAATATTGTGAAATATTTTTTACAATTTAAAATAACTTTCTATTTTAACCTATTCATGTGATGGCAAAGCTGAATTTTCAGCAGCAATTGCTCCAGTCAATACGTTTATTCAGCATAAACACATTTAATTTACTTTTATAAAGTGACAGTTAAGACATTTATAATGTTACAAAAGTTTTCTATTTTGAATAAATGCTGTTCTTTTGAACTTTCTATTCATCAACCAATCCTTAAAAAAATGTATCATGGTTTCCACAAAAATTTAAAGCAGCAAAAACAACACTGATGATAAGAACCATTATTAATAATTGAGCACAAATAAAAAAAAATGATAATAATTGAGCACCAAATCAGAATATTATAAATGATTTCTGAAGGATTATGTGACACTGAAGACTGAAGTAATAGCTGTTGAAAATTCAGCTTTGCCATCACAAGATTAAATGACTTTTTAATATAGTATGTTAAAATAAAACAGTTATTTTAAATTATAATACTTACTGTTGTCACTTTTTTTTTTTTGATCAAATAAATGCAGCCTTGTGAGCGAAAGATACCTTTTCTTATCTTAATATCTTAAGACACCATAAATCAAACAACACGCCTAATTAACAAAATACATTTCTTTAAAACGTATAAGAGTTACACCATAATTTCATCTGCAAAATATACAGGCATATAATGCTTATAAAATAAAACTATTTATGTGCCAAAAACAATCACAACAATCCATCAAAAAATGTTCAGTAGCAGCACAGTCATTTTGTGAATGCTGCTACTAGTGAGCAGGGAAATTCGTCTTTCATCCAAAATAATTATTTTAATATTTAAAATGCTTTGCATGAATAAAATATTGGTTCATGAATCATAAACTCATCTTAACAACAAAACAAAGCATACCAGCTGGGAATAATGACATTAAGATCCTTTCATTCCCAGAAATGCAGTCTACTTTCTATCAAAGAAAAAACTTTATAGAAGGTAGCAATGAAGGGTCAAACACAGCAGCACTGCAGTTCAGATATAACTGTTTTGTTGTATATATATATATCTAACATGCCCTTAGAATGACAGTATCGTTATAATTCTTTATGCAAAGCCTCTGAGAATAGTTCTCGATAAGCATCTGAGGAGCGGAGGTGTGCTGTCCCTGTCAGAGGGAGATCAGATTGCCCCAGGCAGCGGTCACAGAGACTTTTAGACATAAATAAGTATGGTACTACAGTCCCTTAGGCATACGGCTCCGGGATTTCTCAGCCTCCGGCTATGCAAATAAAACACTGTCACATGTGTGATATCAGCAAGTGAGTCTTTGAGCCTCCGTTCATGGATATTTGTATATTTATGTGCGTGAGAAAGCATTATGTTTTGATGTAGCCTTTGTTGGCCAGTCATAGAGATGTTGTTTGTGTGGGCTCATATTCCTTGTGGACTGTCTGCTCGCTTTGCTGATTATTGCCAAGATACAATGCAAGGCCCCAGAACTGAATAGGAATGGTGGTGTGAATTCAAAAACAGTCATCCGAGTGGATTAGCTCTTAATTCTTTCTGATTGCGTCAGTCAATTCTGATTTCCATTTTGATGAGAATTATCGATGTACAAAGCAAAACATTAAGTGACAGACCGAAAGGAGCAACAGATAAGAATCCATACATGCTAGGTGAGTGAAAACAGAATATAGTTATATAAAATCCTCTGCATGCAATCAGAACAGGAGGAGTAAATATCTGATGCTGATGAGTTTTTAAAGGTGCAAGCAAGTTTTTTTTTTTGTCTAAGCAGTCTATAATAACTGGAGAATGCTATTAGCATTAGCATGATATAGTTATGGCATTAACCAGAAGGGGCTAATGGAGCCATGCTAAACAGTGTTGTTAATCCTAACTAAAACTACTGAAATTGTTTTTGGTAATTTTAATAAAGCTGAAATATAATAAAATACAAATATTAGATAAAAGACTTTCATTTAAAAAACTTAAATGAGAATTAGAAATGTTCCCTTGCCAACGCCAACTAACTGAAATAAAGTTGTAGTAGTAAAATTACGAAAACTGAAACAAAATTAAAGCTATATAGATTTTAAAAAAATACTAAATACAAAAAAATAAAATCAAAATTGAAAATATAAAAATAAATGCTAATTCAAAGTAATAATAATAAATATTATAAAATTATATAAATACAACTCTGAATGGTGTAGTTATGACATTAACCAGCAGGAGCTAACAGGGCCATGCTAAACAATGTTGCTACAGTATTGTTAACAAAATCACTGAAGTAATAAGGTTACAAAAATTAAAACTAAAAAAAAAAATGTTAATGACAGCATTCATGAGGTGGTGACCCATTCATGTAGATTTAAACAGCTATTTGTGTGTGTGTGTGTAAAACGCGAATTACCAAAAAAAAAAAAAAAAACGGGAAAGAAAGAA